TGGCCAGCTTCTCTCTTAATACATCTAGTCTTTCTGAAAGTGATATTAATCTAATGGTATGATAATGTTCGTGCACCCAGTGTTTGATCAATTGCTGTCTTTGGTAATTGAAAATAACTGGACATTCTTTGTTATTCAGGCAAGTGCATATCCAGAGTTTCATTTTCAAAGCTTTAAAAGGCCTTACTTCTCTACAGAAAAAAAAACAATTCGACTTCTCCGACCCGCCACTCCATACACCCCAACATTAAGTGAACTGATTATAGAGAATATTGCGCAACCATTGAAGTGTGATGCTGAGTTTACAGTGACCATCAACTATTATTTTGTTGGAGAGACTGTTCAAGACTTCAAAACTGACATTGTCTATATAGTGAGTACAATTGCTGCATGTTCATTGGCTATATGTACAGTTTTACAGTGCTGCATTCCTCTGAGATTTTCAGTTTGTCATCGGAGTGTCATCTGTCTGTTTCAGGTCGTGTCCAGAGGAGTGATCGTTCATCATGGATATGAGAAGGTTGAAGTGAAGTCTTCTGATGGAGCAGCAAGTGGCACAGTGTCGTTCAAACTGTCTGTTAGTGCAGATCTGGCTCCTGCAGTGCAGATTCTGACCTACTGTGTTCTGCCCAGTGAAAATGTTGTTGCTGGTAGCACAGATTTCATGACTGAGAAGTGTTTAAAAAACGAGGTATACAGAAAGTTCTGAGATAATTGAGATATTACTGTCTTTAAACCTCATTTTAACACCACAAAATGGCTCCATTTTCATCATAGGAACACTAAAATGGCACATCCTACTGTTGTCGTCACAGGTTTCTCTGCAGTTTTCTCCTGCTAAAGCAGTTCCTGGTGAGAAAAACACTCTCCAGCTCTCAGCTCAGCCTGGTTCACTGTGCGGCCTCAGTGCTGTAGATAAGAGCGTCCTGATCCTGAAACCAGGAGAACGTCTGGATACTGACAAGGTTTAATTGTATACCTTACATGGTTAAAATGAAAAATCGAACTTTAAAAAGCATACATTACTAAAGATTAATATTTCCAATGACAAGTTTTTAGAATAGTATATTTAATCATTGGTAAATGTTTTTTAATCTCATCATAGATCTTTAACCTGCTGCCAGTACAGTCAGTTTCGGGTTATCCTTATAATGCCATGGATACACCAGAGTGCCTGGAAATTAGACCTCGTCGTGCTGTGTCACTAGACCGTGTTTATGACAGCTTGAAGGTAACAAACTGCTCAGAAAATTGTTGACGTTACTTATAAAGAGGAGAAAGTAGGATATAAAGATAAAAATAGTATTTTATTATTACACCATACCCAAGAAATATAGATTTTAATTGACTTAGTTTTTCAATTTCCATTCAATTACACATAATTGCTGTTTGACAGAACGTGGGATTGAAGATGGCAACAAATTTGCATGTGAGACAACCCCTTTGTCTGACATACTATGGTGTAACTTATCACAGAGGTTTTCACGTAGGTACGTCTACTTGAAATTTGTAATATGATGAATGTTTTGTTGTTACATATAGGCCTAAATTGCAGAACATTTTTAAGGGATCCTGAAATCATGTCACTGTAATATCACTTTGTACTGCTGTTGTTGAAATAGCAGTTTCTTAGTGTTAGCAGCTGATGTCTAAAATGGATTCAGATGCATAAACAAACAAAAAGTGTTGTAGATGAGTAAATGCATAAATAGGGTCTGATGGGGGAATTTACTAAGAATCAGTTCATACCTGCTGAGAGAGCACTGGTTTTTTGCACACGTGCATTAGTCATTTATTTGAATTTTCAGGGAGGAAGTATTCTGAAAATCGAGGATCTGCTCAAGCACCTATGGAGACAGTTCGTACCTTTTTCCCAGAAACATGGATTTGGCAGCTCACTGAAGTGGGGTATGTAAATGCCATAAAGACCATATATTCAAGGATACTTAACAGACTTTGTAAGTGGCACATTACGAGGTAAGATAGGATAAGATAAGACTTTATTTTATACCCACAGGGAAATTTAGACATTACAGCATCATGGATGATAAAAAAAACACAAAACAGAATAATGAAGAAGAAGAGAGAAAAAAAAAACTTAAGCATACTAATGTATATACTGTATATTAAAAAAACACTAAAGAACAGTTCAGTAATGACGACTGAACACTCTAAAAAATAATTCAGTGGATCTGTTGCCACTACTTAATTTAATGCATTAGTGCAAGTTAAAAATTCAAATTTATTGATTTAATTAAACATTTTAAGTTTTAAAAAAAATTTAATGAGTTGTCCTGATATCTTAATGTTGATAATTACATCAACGTAATACTGTGTGTAACTTCAACTTAAATATCTGTGTTAGTTTGTTTAAAACATTATTTAAGTTGTACTAACTCAATGTAATTAGCTCCATAACTTAATTTTTTCAAGTTCACGTTTCAGGTTCCCAGCATGCTTTGCATGTGGCTGAATAATGGGCGGTAATGTAGAAATAAACTACAATTTTTTTATGCATTTCTATTCAAGATCAGAACAGGAGAAGATGTATTAATGTTCAGTGTTCGGTTATATTTGTATTTAAAAGTGTTTCTGTTATGTTTTTGGTTATGGTTTTTATGAGTTTACCATTGTGCTGAAGAGTAGAGCGTTTGCTTAGGTTGAGAACAGACTCACTGGGCATGTCATACATGCTGTTTCAACCAGAAGGCATTTGGTTGAAAATGCTAAAAGATTGGTTTCTTGGCAGCATTAAGTTTTGTTTCATCAAAAAATAATATTTTAGTAGTTTTTGTAACCAGTGTCCATGATTGAATCAAATTTAAAACAATGTGAAAAAAAACTTAGAACAACTTAATAATTGTTAGTTTTAACACAGTTTTCTAATTATATATAGCACAATATAGTTTATTAGTTGAACTTAATTTCAGAGGAAGTTGCTTTAACTCAACAAAAAATTATGCAAACTGTTGCGTTAATGTTTTTTGTTGCGTCCAAACAATATTTTTTAGAGTGAATATACAAAATAAACATCATGAATACTGACATTCACTGAAAAGTACTGTACTTCTAAATAAAAACAAATAAATAAATAAATATTTTTTTTGAATATGGATAAATAACTGGGTAAAACTGGTCCTATAAGAGTGTCAGAACCCAGCCTCAGTGCTAAGATATTCTGATATCATCTCTGGTAGCGCTCAGTTATCAGACTGTTAAGCCTTTTCTTGTCCTTTTCTGTGATTCCACCACTCCAGGAGACGACCGCAAAGAAAGTTGCTAATGCAACTACAGTATCATTCCATTTTGCCATAGTACCCATTTATGTGAACACCCAGATACTTGTACACATTTATCATCTCAATGTCCAGCCCCTGGAAGTTTACTCTGCATGTTACTATACTGTGCTGCACAACAGGGACTCTGGATCAGCTCAGGTTCCTGTCACAGTTCCTGACACCATCACCTCTTGGGACACGGAGGCCTTCTGTCTGTCCTCCAAAGGTCTGGGTCTGGCTCCTCCTGCTCAGCTGACAGTTTTCCAGCCCTTCTTCCTGGAGCTCTCTCTGCCTTACTCCATCATCCGTGGGGAGATCTTTGAGCTGAAGGCCACTGTCTTCAACTATCTGTCCAAGTGCATCATGGTGAGACTTCAGACTCAGTCTTATCCAATCATATCAAATATGCCACTAATCATGTGTGTTTGACTGACAGGTTAAAGTGACTCCAGCTCCTTCCTCAGACTACACTCTCAAAGCCTCCTCTGATGATCAGTATTCATCCTGTCTGTGTGCTAATGGAAGAAAAACCTTTAAATGGATCCTCACTCCTTCTGTTCTCGGTGAGTTTTCCAGCCTGAATCATTGTTTCTCAGTGTTTGTGTCTGTTGTATATTCAAGTACATGTCTTGTGTTGTAGGAGTCTTGAATATTACAGTCAGTGGAGAGGCAGAGGCGTCCCAGACTGTGTGTGACAATGAGATTGTGAGCGTGCCAGAGAGAGGACGCATTGACACAGTCACACGAAGTCTGCTTGTACAGGTCAGCGCACGTCAAATGGCTCTCAGACGTAATTTCTCCATGATCCTAATGCTGCTTATGTCAGTATGATGTGTTGATGTTACTGTTTTATTCTGCAGGCTGAAGGAACTGAGAAGACAGAGACCTACAGCTGGTTACTGTGTCCAAAGGGTTTGTCTGCAGACAATATTTAGCATCATATAATGTTTCTCTGCTGATCACTGATGTGTGTTTCTGTCTCTCTGGTTCATAGGCGACACTCTCTCAGAAGAAGTGAATCTGACTCTTCCTAAAGATGTGATAGAGGGATCAGCCAGATCATCTGTTTCAGTCATTGGTAACATTGACATATACAGTAGAAGCAGGAATTAAAAGTTTTTGTTTGGGTTTCTAAAATGTAGTGTTTCATTGGTGTTTGGTTTGTAGGAGACATATTGGGTCGTGCACTGAGCAATCTTCACGGATTATTACGGATGCCGTACGGCTGTGGAGAACAAAACATGGCTGTTCTTTCTCCCAATATTTACATTCTGCAGTATCTGGAAAACACAGAGCAGCTCACCTCAGCCATCCGAGAGAGAGCCACCGGCTTCCTTAAGAGCGGTGAGAGAAATCAATCATGTCAAGAGAATACTGAAATACTAAGAAATTAAGTCACAATACATTTGACTTCAGAAACACTTGATCAACCCAGAATGTTTGAACTCAACAGGATACCAGAGACAGATGAACTACAGACATATTAGTGGTGCATACAGCACATTTGGATACGGTGATGAGAATACATGGTAAATATTTGTAACTTTTCACTCTCACTTTTTTCCTACATAGTTACAAAGTTAAAATGTGTATTTTTACTTTACATAGATGGTATTTAGTTTCAACAATTTATGTATAGACTGTCAAATGATTAATCGCAAGTAATCACCGACTTTTATTATCCAAAATAAAATTTTATTATACACACACACAAATTTAAATATTGTTCAACAACAGAATGAAGGTGTGTTATTTGTTTCTCAATGTTTGCTGAGATCAATAGACACCAGGTCTGGTAATAAATTTTATATTTGTCTTTATTTCTGTTTCTCATACATTGCAGGGTGGAGTGAATGATAATGTGACCATGACTGCCTACATAACTGCATCACTGCTTGAACTGGAAACTCCAGTCACAGTAAGTTCATCTACAGGAAACAGTATAAACTCATAGAAAAATTAGACTCATAGCGGCTGTTTCTCTGTCTTTGTCTCAGGATCCTGTCGTCACTAAAGGTTTGTCCTGCTTGAGGTCCGTCATTAAGGATGTCAAAAACACTTACACCACTGCTCTGCTCGCCTACACTTTCAGCCTTTGTCCTGAGGTCTTTTGGCAAAGCACAGAAATACATATTTATTGATCCACAAATTATTCAGAGTGCAAAGAAATGGTTAATAAGCACACGGGATTCAGACGGCTGTTTTATCCAACAGGGAAGACACGGGATTCAGACGGCTGTTTTATCCAACAGGGAAGATTGTTCAACAACAGAATGAAGGTGTGTTATTTGTTTCTCAATGTTTGCTGAGATCAATAGACACCAGGTCTGGTAATAAATTTTATATTTGTCTTTATTTCTGTTTCTCCTACATTGCAGGGTGGAGTGAATGATAATGTGACCATGACTGCCTACATAACTGCATCACTGCTTGAACTGGAAACTCCAGTCACAGTAAGTTCATCTACAGGAAACAGTATAAACTCATAGAAAAATTAGACTCATAGCGGCTGTTTCTCTGTCTTTGTCTCAGGATCCTGTCGTCACTAAAGGTTTGTCCTGCTTGAGGTCCGTCATTAAGGATGTCAAAAACACTTACACCACTGCTCTGCTCGCCTACACTTTCAGTCTGGCTAAAGACACAGACACTCGACAGCAGCTTTTCAAGAAACTAGAGGAAACTGCTATTTCAGATGGTAAGAGATTTGTTTTCAATGACTTTCTGTTGTCTTCTATGACTGTACTGTTGTTTATTTTTATCATGCTCATCGAGTTACTGGTGTCTCTTTTGTCCATGTGCCCTAAAGGGTCTTGTCTCCACTGGTCTCAGTCTGGATCTGCTGACTCTGATTCTCTGGCAGTGGAGATCAGCTCATATGTGCTGCTAGCTGCTCTCACTGCAGATTCGCTCACTACAGCTGATCTGGGCTTTGCTAACAGGATTGTCAGCTGGCTTGTGAAGCAGCAGAATGCCTACGGAGGATTCTCCTCCACACAGGTGACCCAAACTACTCAAATCAAACACATAATTGCTGAATAATGGGTAAAAGTCACATTACTGAACACATTTGTTTCTCAGGATACAGTGGTGGCTCTTCAGGCTTTGTCTTTGTACGCCACCAAAGTGTTCAGCTCTGATGGCTCCAGCATAGTGACTGTACAGTCAGCAGCAGACACTCACCACTTTGATGTCAATCAGGACAACAAGTTACTGTACCAGGAGAAGCAGCTGCAGAACGTTCCAGCCAAATACAGCATTGAAGCGAAGGGCTCAGCCTGTGTGTCTGTGCAGGTCTGTAGTGCGTTCAGCTTCATTGCACTCAATCTCTTCTCTTTTTCCTCTCTTGGCATTTTGTGGCTATTTTGCTGCGAGATGGTTTATAACTGTGTCTTTGTTCATGTTTACTCTCTCAGGTGGCTCAGTTCTACAACATCCCCACTCCTACTGAAGTTAAAACATTGAGCATTGATGCTAAGATTGAGGGAGATTGCAAAACATTGGGACAAAATTTCATCTTGAACTTCACTGTCAAGTAAGAACAGATCTGAAAAAAGTAGTGTGACCAGATTGCAAAACAAAATACAAATTTGATATACAGGCATGTCGTAAATGTATAGGCTCATGTACCTCTCTCATTCGGCATGAATCCAAATGTTTCCATGGTTGCAATATAACATTTAATAGCCAACCTATTATTTTGCAAACAAAGCTTTGTACTAAACGAGTCATAATATTCACCTTAAGCATCATTCACAAATAAAATATCAACTTGGCCAATGTTTAGTCAACTATTATGGGGCAGCCCTAATATGTACATAGTGCATAATTGTCAATTTTTAATTGTTTTACTTTAGGAGGCATTTAAGAACCATCTTTTACAATTTGCTTTTTTTCCACCAGATATGATGGTCGACAGGAAAGGACTAACATGGTCATTGTGGATATTAAACTCTTATCTGGATTCACAGCTGATACATCAATGGTGCATTTGAGTGTTTCATCACAAACTTCCCTGCAAACAAGCCTAAGGGCCACCAGTGGGCTGCCAGCGCAGGGCCTGTGGGACTTTGCTCATTGGCAAAACTTTGGCCCTTTAGCGGCGGCCCTGCACGGGCAGCCCTCACTTAGCCCCCAGGAAGTCACAGGGCCAACACTATTAAACTACAACAATAAATCGGTTTCACTATAAAAACTTTTCAGCAACTATAACAAAGTCTTTGGGAAAAACAGTTATTATACATCTGAAATGGATGCAGTCACCACATAACTAATGTCTGTAGTCAAAAATGTACAGTATAGTCAAAGGGATTTCAAATCAATGGATTTATTAAATAAAAAAAATAGAAAACATTCAATTCAGGTTAATACAGCTAATTTAACACTCTGAAAGGGACTACACTCTAAAAAATGCTCGGTTATATTTATATTTTTTTGTGTACATATTATCTATACAAAAAATAAAAATACCAAATTATTAATTTGACCTCTGCTGAAAATGTTTTGATGGTCTAAAATATTCATTGGTGAAGCGCACTCATCCCCTGTGGTCTCTCGACTAGTCAGCAGACGGTGGTAGCGCTCCTTTCCTCCATCCACGCTGTCTCTTGAATTCCACAACCAGACCTTTATCTCACTCTCAACTTCAGAATCAGGAGAACTTGGCTGAAAGAGGCATTTCCTTACAGCCTCTGAAAAGAAAATCGGCTTATATCAGGGATCTTCAAATCTGGTTCATTAATTAAACTCACTTTCTTGCAGATTTTAGCTCCAGCTTTGATCAATCACACCCACCTGTGATTTTCTAATGATCCTAAAGACACTGATTAGCATGCTCAGGTTTGATTAGGGTTAGCTCTAAACTCTGCAGGAAAGTGGATCTTGTGAGCCAGATTTGAGGATCCCTGGCCTATATGAAACAACAGGTTCTTAAAACAGGGCTGTCCAAACTCAGTCCTGGAGGGCCGGTGTCCTGCAGAGTTTAGCTCCAACTTGCCTCAACACACCTGACTGGAAGTTTCTATGCCTAGTAAGAGCTTGATTAGCTGGTTCAGGTGTGTTTAATTAGGGTTGGAGCTAAACTCTGCAGGACACCGGCCCTCCAGGACCGAGTTTGGACAGCCCTGTCTTAAAAGGTCTCTTTTGGTTTGAGCCATTCCAGTTCAACTGAGTGCCTAAAGAATGGCCAGTCAGTGTTAGTATTCTCCAAGTTGCATTACAAGGCTGCCTACATAAAACTTGCATGGGCCCAAAGGTACAAATGTTGCTCTGGGCCCGAACGGGCTGGCCCACACTGGGCTATCATCGGATTAATGTGGGCAGTCCCATAGTGTGGGCTGCTTACAGAGAGCCCACGGTAAGCCTAAAGCTGTGGGCCTCGCCTGGGCAAGCCCGCACCGGGCCTGTTTGGGTTTGGTGTGGGCTGGCCCTAGCCCACTGCCCTGTTGAAAAATCCAGGGGCCCGTTCTTCGTACGTCGCTAACTCAGTTAGCAGGATTTGATTGTTGACGATTTCGCCTGATCTTGGATTGTTTGGTTCTTCGAAGCTCATCCCGGAGTTGCTGTCATAGCAACAGGTCTGTTAGCTTAAACCTGCAGGCTTATTTCATGTAAACAGGATTAGATTGCATCTTTTTAAGCAGAATTGATACTTAAAATCTGTCCTACTACTACTTCATTAGAAGAGTATCCTACTGATCCAGGGACAGTAATTAAAAGGATATTTAGAAAAGTATTTAGAGATTTAACCAGTACTTTTTCCACACAGCTTGGAACTTCTGGAACATACGCATCACTTGTGGAGCGGGTCGATGCTAAAGATGATCATGTCATTTTGTATTTGAAGGAGGTGAGAGAATAGCAACATTCATATGATCTTATGTCATTTAAAGGTCGATTCATAAATATTTTATCCAAAATTTCCATGGCTGATGAGTTTATTTCTTCCTGCAGATCCCCAAAAATATTCAGAAGAATTATCAGATACAAATGAAACGGGTCCTTCCAGTGAAGAATCTCAAGCCAGCCATGGTCAAGGTGTATGATTACTACCAAATAAGTAAGATTTTATAGGCCACTGTTGAATGTTTTTATCATCTCAAGCAGGTTATTCAGATTTATTCCATGTGCAAGTTTCCATTGTTGTATGAACGTTAACATCATTTTTTTTCTTCAGGTGATCAGTCAGAGAGCGAATACGCCTTCCACTGTTAATGAAGATGCAGAACTGAAGCATGTCACTTCATAGTTCATTGAATATAGATGTTTGACTGCTCAAATGTTTAATATTATAATGTATAATTATTATCATTGGCAAATTTATTTACAATCCATCAACCCAAATTTGTACAAAACCCTATTGTAAATCTGAGTTTTTGGTCTCTTGAAAACCAGATCACAAACCCAATGATTAATAAAAATGTTGAAAACAATTATGGTAAACTGGTTGAAATTTATTAAATTGTAAGTGGTTTTTACCATTTTCTATGGGTCATGCAAATGTCTATTTATAAAAAGTTTATAAATATCAAATCGTATATAAACATTTAAAAATAAATACACAATATTTCCTCATTGTTTAATGGCTTTGAGTTGTTAAAATGAATGGTTTTGTAAAAATCTGTATTGGTAATTATTTCATGTCTTGTACATTTTATGGCATACACTATATATATATATATATATATATATGTGTGTGTGTATATGTATTAATTGTAGTAAAACCATAGTAACTACGAAATTAATCATGGTTTTACTGCAGTAACCATGATTTATCTATGGTTTTTGTAGAAAACCATAGTAATTGCAAAATGAACTATGGTTTACCACAGCATTTGCAGTAGAACCATTACAAAATAACCCATGGTTTTCTACACTATTAACTACAGATTTAGTTATTTCTTACTCTTAAAAATTAGGACTCAATAAAATAATCATAATTAATCTCATGATTTCTGAAAATTAAACAATAATCAAATTTGGCAAATGTGTTGTCAGTTGTTACAAAAAATAACATTATAAAACTCAGCTTTGACAAGTTTTACCTATAAATGTAAACATGCAATAGGCATCCTTTTTCAGAAA